CAGAGGTACCAGCAGATACAATTGCTAGTATAACAGGGTGACACCAGCAGTCGGCTATTATGTTTATTACAGTATTATTCTATGTTTCCGTTAAGCTACGGACTGGGATTACTTTTTCTTGCGTTACATTATAACAATAATAAAATAATAACAACACATTTGAATGCAAAACACACGTTTAAAACAATCAACACGTCATCCCATTACTGATGTATTCATTCGGAGTTATGCATTTGGGACATACAGAACTAGAACAACTCCAAAATAAAACAAACAACATTCACAAAACATAAATACCATTCTAAGATTATTGTAAAAAAGCCGACTCTTCCTCCTAAAGTGGGAGAACGAGGCCTCAGATATTTTAAACTTACACAGAAAAATTCCTGTAGCGTCTGTGTTTATGTTAAACAAGAAGCATCACAATTACAAAAACAGTACAGCATGAAATTTACTTAACACTAGCCTGGATCTAATACAGTACAGTATACAAAAAATATACAGCACAGATAAATCAGACAGTCTTTGGCTCGGAAGGAGCTCCACGGTAAGCAAACAATCTCAGCCAGGATTACGCTGAGAACTAATGCATGGATACCATTTTGGAGAGACAGGAGGATTCATAATTATTATACAAAGTAGGTCATATCAATAAACAAGTTACACAAAAGTCAAATACATTTTAACAGACACAACACTCACAGACGACACTTACAGGAAATACTACGAGACTATACACATTATGTCAATGTCTGTGTTATAATGACATAACACAGACATTGACACAATCAAACAGCAAATGTAATACATCAAAAGCTTGCACCAAACACAAACTACTACACACTCAGGAAGCATGCTACAAATACACGCCTTAGAAGGTTATAGAAAAGAACACAAAATATACAATCACAGACAAAACAATCTATCAAAACATATCATATATTGTACCTTGTATACACAAGTTACACAATGATTATAACTTGTGTATACAAGGTACAATACACAAAATATACAGCGATTGTATATTTTGTTCTTTTCTATAACCTTCTAAGGCGTGTATTTATAGCATGCTTCCTGAGTGTGTAGTAGTTTGGGTTTGTGTGCAAGCTTTTGATGTATAACATTTGATGTTTGACAAAGGAAACAAAATCACATTCATTATAGATGTAGCTGTCCCAAACATTCCCACAATATCTAAAATGCATATGCTGAAATAATTAGTAAGTACTTAGAACTGGCCCATGAAATAAAGCGTTTAGAGAGAACGGATAAAGTGAACTTAATGGGCCAATAGTCCTTTTCTGCACAGGCGTCATATCACATACATACTACTACAACTATACAAAAATTTTGAAACAGAGCTTTACAACAGCAAATACATTACACTACAGAAGGCTATCATAATAAGCACATGTCACATATTTAAGAAATTCTTAAACAAGAGCTCTTGCTCGACTCTCCCAGCACTCGAACAGGAACAGGAGGTTAAATGAATCATTAGAAAGTCAGATCATTTTCAATTATAATATGAGGGTTACCGACGTCTTGCTTACCACTGGTATGAAAGTGATAAGACATCTCGTTCCTCTCGGCTGGCTGTCGGGATGCGACGCGAGAGATAAGATATGCAGGATGGTGATAAAGGACACCGAGACAGAAACACCGTTAACAATTTAGAATCGCGTTTATTATAACAAAATCTGTTTATAAATATCGTCCAATTCGGAAGTATTCAATGGAAAAAGGTTTAATGGTTGTAATCGGTATGCGAGGATCCTTCGAGCCAGCAGGGTCTTGCGATGATCCGGATCAGGTTCAAACACTGATTCCTCGGTGCTCAGACTGAGAAACGAAAGTCACTTGAAGATGGTTAATCTTTTGGAGGATCAATCTAGGCCAGGGACGGTTGATCTTTTAGAAAATCGATCTAGGCCAGGGATGGCGTACCATTTTGAGCCCGAGTGCTATATTGTAAGCATACGTAGCTTTAAATAAAGGTGTTTATGCGTGCCAGCGTTTTAGATTTCGAATAACGATATTTAAATAAATTAAAGGAATATGCTTTAATTAGAATAAATGTAAAAAAGCTGATTGAAAAAATAATGAGCAAATGGTAACCAAAAGGATAATTGGAAAAGACAAATGAAAAATCGAAATCGTATAATACGTTACGTGCCAGATGATTACCTGCCACTTTGGGCACGCGTGCCATAGATGGCCTAGATCAGGGTTGGCGAATCTCGAAAAAGAAGGCACGAAGATTTATTTCTTCTCTCTTTGTAATCTTCGTATCGTCTCTCTGTTTCCCGATTGATCCTCAGCTTATCTCTAGGGATCGAATTCGGGCTAAAAGGAAAGATGACAACCCCTCTACTCTGATAAAGACCAACACCTCCCGAAGTGTTTAATTGACATTTCCTGAATAATAGTCCGTCAATCGGAAAATGTGTGTTTTCTTTTCCGTTCCGAGAGGATACAGCTGTAGTTAAAAGGTAATCAACGGGAATCGAAAGAGACAGGTCATAAGAATTTCTTCTCTTGAAATTTCAATTTATCAACTCCGTCAAAAATTGTTCTAATTAAGAATGGATCACATCGTTGGATAGCCCTTCAAAAGCAGGTCAGATCGATATATTACTTACTCGGGTACGATAAAGAGGGAGGGTGTTAGGAAGGTCCGAATCCCGGACATTTTAGAATTTAATAGCGAGGGGCTAAATTAAGATAGGGGGATAAAAATTGGGTGGGACGTACAGGACGTTAGCCCAAGCACAGGGTGTAAATTTGATTAAGCTGGGGTAATTAGAATTTAAATAAGGGCTGTTTTAGAATTGCATACATTTTAATTACTATCTATAACGGTTTCCAACGGCCGTTAGTGTTAGTTGCCATAGTCAACGGTCATCCGTAACGACTTTTATACAAAAATAAGGTGGTTAACAATTTTACTGGTTATTAATAGGTTAGATAGACTGATTAGGCCCCAAAATACTACTTTTTAATCGGTAACGATAAATTTTTTTGATTGACAGTTTAATTCTATATATTAATTTTTAGTCGTGACAGATGGCCATATATAAGGTGGTTAACAATTTTGCTGGTTATTAATAGATTATATTGGCTGATTAGGCACAATATTATTACTTTTTAATCGGTGACGGTAAATCTGTTTGACTGACAGATTTAGTATTAAAATAATTATTAATTTAATTATTAGGTTTAAGTCCTATCTTTTCGTACTGTGCTATTGAGTATTCACTCGGTAACACAGTATCGCTTGGCACTGGGCCATCTTAAACACAATACACTTCTTCTAATTGGTTTATATTTGAGTTTTAAGATGGAAAACTTAGAAAATAACTTTGATCAAATATCGGAAGACCAGCAGGAATGCTCCAGTGAAAAAACGGTTAATTACTACAATGAAAATAACAGTGAAACAGCTGAATTTAAGCTTCTAAAAGAAGCGAAAACACAATTGAAGAGGATAATGGATCTTATTCCAGAATCCTATAAAATCCATATCAGGAATGAAGAGAGGAAAGAGGTGAAAGATAGGGTTGTACAGATGTACGCAACGGTACAACAAATGTACGGGATTCTTAAAGAAGTAAGATCAGAAAGAGAAGAAAGAAACAGCATAACACCAAATTTACTGGAGTCTATCAAAGAAATCAAAACAAATATACAACATTCAAACAAGACTTCAAGTCAATTGAGTTACGCTGAAGTCACTAGATCCAACATAAGTACACAACAAATGGGAAGTCAAAATAATAGAGATATAATTAACAATAGTAACGAGGAAGGCAACAGTGCGGTATTAATATACCCAAATAGTGAGCAAGAAACAAATATTAACATGGAAGGAATCGTTACAAAAATTAAGGAAAACATTCAACCAAAGCAAATTAAGATTAAGGTTAAGGGGATTAAGAAGATTAGAGGGAATGGAGTTTGCATAGTGGTTAATAATAACGAGGAAGGTGATAGACTCAAGAACGCGATAAAAAAAATAAAAGAAATAGACAATAAAATAAAGTGTAGAGTCGCAGGAAAGCGTCAACCAAAAATAATATTGCTAAACGTACCAAACAGTTTACCAGAAGAAGATATCATAGAGATAATGATAAGGCAAAATGATATTTGGAGAGGTTTAGATGAAGACAATCTAATAAAAGACTGTCGGTTAACATCAATAATCAAAAGTAAAAGGTCAGAAGGGAAAAGCAGACATATTATCATTACAGTTACACCAACAATAAGAAATTTTTTAATGAAAAATAAAAATATAGCACTTCAATGGTACTCAATTCAAGTGGATGACTATATCCCTATACAGCGTTGTTTTCAATGCTGTGGGTTTGGACATTGGGCTAGAGATTGTAAGGAATCTCAAAAATGTAGCCATTGTTCCAAACAGCACAGATTCAGTGAGTGTAAACTTACGAATACTATACCGGCATGTACCAATTGTAAGAGAAACAATATTGGGCTTCCACCGGATAAAAAACTAGCAACAAACCACAACGCATTTGACAAGATATGCCCTCTTCTTAAAAAGTTAAGGAAACAATTAATTGGAAGAATAGATTATGGACCATAGTACTACAGTAAATAATACTCAGTATAGTAATAAGAATACTCAGCATACTAGCAATAAAAGGAATACGAAAGAAGAGGATAATTTAAATATCATACAGTTAAATGCACAAAGGGGAAAAGCACCAAGCTCATTATTGGCCTACAAAGCAAACGAACTGAATGTTGATATAGCATTAATTCAGGAACCCTATACAGTGAATAAGAAAATAATGGGACTTGGATGCTGGCAGCTCATTTACAAACCAACAGATAAAACACCAAAAACTTGTATAAGTGTTAGGAATAAAAATATAAACATAGCATTAATCCCAGAATTATCATCGAATATCATAACAACGGTGGTAATCCATCTTAAAATTAGTATAATTTTGATTAATGTATACCTTTCGCCATATATGGACGATGCAAAAGGAGTGGAAGAGATTGCAAGGATTTTAGGGAGGATAAATATTAAAAATATAATTGTAGCCGGGGACATAAACGCAAAGTCAGCGGTATGGTTTAATGAAAAGGAGGATCACAGGGGACGTCTAATTTTGGACCTAATGGAACAGTATGATCTGGTATCAGTTAATATGACTGACTACCCGACTTTTTTCACGAGCCAAGCAAAAGGTTGGACAGATGTTTGTTTAATGTCAAGTGAGTTAGCGCAAAATGTGAAAAATAGTGAAACCCTCCTCTCAATTACAGCAAGTGACCACAGATTCATTAGCACACAAATAGGAAATCTAGGAAACAAAAATCAACAGTATTATTTGAATATGAAAAATATCAACTGGGAACTATACAAAAGATTATTCAATGAAAATTGGAGCAATCACGAATATCCAAAAATGAGAACTACTACAGATATAGATGGCTATGTAGAACACTTGACAAATGACATGCTAAGAGCAGGATGCCAAGCAGGTAAAATGACACGACGGAGACCAAATATGAAAACGTACTGGTGGACTGAGGAATTGGAGAAACAGAAGAAAAACATAAACAGATTAAGGAAAAAATTCCAGAGAGCAAACGACAAGGAACAAAAACAACAATTAAGATTTAAATATAAAATAGAGGTTAAAAAATATAAGAAAAAAATTAACAAAACTCGTACCAAAAGTTGGAGAGAATTTTGCGGTGAATGTAATGAAAAGGGACCTTGGGAGTTGCCATATAAAATAGTTTTTAGGAAAAAGAAAAAGCTCCAATTGCCAGATATTATAAATTGGGAGAATGACACAACAGAGGACGAGAATTTTAATATTGAGGCTAATTTAAAAAAACTATTGGATTATCACTTCCCACTAGAAAACTCTACCAATAATACTACCAATAATATTGATACTGTTAATTATCAAAGAAATATGAACAAGGATGACAACCAGGATATACAATGTAAACTCTTTACTTTTAAGGAAGTTAGACAAGCAATTTATACAATGGGTAATAAAAAGGCACCGGGAATGGATAATATCACATCAGAAATGCTGAAACATGCTTTTGACGAGATTCCGGTGGTGTTTGTTTATCTGTACAATGAATGTTTACAACAGAAATATTTCCCCAGTGTGTGGAAGACTGCTAGTATCAAATTAATACCCAAAAATGACAATCCAACCAAGGCTTCGGACTATAGACCAATTAGTCTTCTTCCCACTATGGGGAAAGCCTTGGATTATCTAATAATAAGAAGAGTTAATTGGGAACTCTATACTTCCGGAAAAATGCACGAGAATCAATATGGATTTCGTACAAATAAATCAACTATCAATGCCCTTATGAGTGTGAAACAATTTATACATACAGCCTGGGATAATAAAAGTCACGCCTTGCTCATTACTATTGATTTTAGTAAAGCTTTCGACAATCTGAGTTGGAAGGATATCTTAAATACATTAGAGGAAATGAAACAGACAACTAACGAAATAAACCTGCTTAAAAGTTATCTCCAAAATAGATATATTGTCTTTCAGGCTAACAATATTCATATTAAAAAAGAAATAAACAAAGGTTGTCCTCAAGGTTCGCGCAGCGGACCAAGTATGTGGAATCTGGTTTTCGACAAATTATTAAGAAAATTCGATGGAAGAACAAATGTTAAAACACAAGCTTTTGCTGATGACCTTATGGTCATGGTGGCAAATAAAAACTGCGATAAACTGAGAGACAAAGCAAATGAAGTAATGGAAGAAATATATCAGTGGAGTAAGGCACACGGTCTACCAATTAATCATAACAAATGTCAGGCTTTGGTTTGCACGCGCAAAAATAAAAGAGGACAACTGAAAAAAACGCTCAAGTTACGTATTAACAATGAAAGAGTGAGGCAGGTTAAAACATTAAAATATCTAGGAGTGCACATAGATCCCAATCTCAGTTGGCACCACCATATTAATGAGCTGACCGCAAAAACAAAACAACGAATAAACCAGATTAATTGGATTATGGGAAAGTATTGGGGGCTAAATCCAAGAAATAGTACCCTCATTTATAAAACTGCTATAGAACCGGCCTTACTATATGCTGTGCCGGTATGGCAAGAAGCACTAGATAATATACATATAAAGAAAAGATTACTTTCGGTACAGAGGCAAGCTGCTATTAAAATCACTAAGGCGTATAGAACGGCGCCAACAGATGCTTTGCTGGCGATAGCAGGCTTGACCCCTATTCATATAACTGCTAAGTCCAAAGCCTGGCAATGGATTGTAACGAATACGAGAATATGGGGAAAAACAACTGAAGAAATAAACAAAAACATTAGAAATAAGCTTATACCGAAGAATATAAAAGAAATATCAGAAAATATATTAACAACCGAAATTGACAAGATTGACAATAGTATTAGCTTGGAAATTCACCCAGCAGAAAGCATGAAAATCAAAGTTAGCTTAGAATATGAAAATAAAAAGGACAAGGACTATCAGTGGTTAGTTTACACTGACGGGTCTAGGCAAACAGAAGGAGCCGGTGCTGGAATCTACATCACAAAAACAAATTCAAAAGTTAAAACTTATCAGGCTAACTTTAAAATTGCAAACCACTGTACCATAACACAGGCGGAATTATGGGCTATTTACAAAGCATTGATACATATAAGAACAAACCTGGAAACATACAAAGGTAGTATAAAATTTTATATTGATAGTAGAGTAGCACTGCAGACACTAAGGAAGGAAAAGAACATCCCATTACTGGCAGTAGAAATTATTAGAGAGGCCCATAAAATTGCGGATAACAATAATTTGTTCTTCAGTTGGATACCGGCGCACCAAGGAATAAAAGGAAATGAAATGGCAGACTTTTTAGCTAAAAGGGCAGTTACATCGGATTCGAAAATAACATATAAAAGGATACCAATGAAAGAGTTAAAGAAACAAATGAGGAATTGGGAAGTTACAACCTGGCAGAAGGAATGGGAAAATTCTACCACAGGTAGACATTGCTTCCAATTTTTTCCAATTATCAAGGATAGACTCCGCAACAAACATTATAAAATTAGTCATGAAACTACCCAGATTCTGACTAATCATGGTAGCTTTCAAGCTTATTTATATAGATTCAAAATATCAAGGAGAAAAAATTGTGATTGTGACGAGGAAAGCGAAGGAGATGCGAATCATCTACTTTTTGACTGTAAAAAATACGAGCAAAGCAGACAACAATTTTTTAGACAATGCATGTTACATGGTATAAGGTGGAGAACAGATCAACATAGAATAATTAACAATAAAGAAGTATGGGAAAGCCTGGAACAGTTTATAACTAAAACAGGAACCCTATTACCAGACTATAGCAAAACCAAAGCACAAAATACAGTCCAAAGTCAACAAAGCAGCGGTGCAGTAGCAGAAAGTGATCTAAGTGACAACCAAGACAACGACAGAGAAATTAACAGCGCCAGTGAAGATACTGAAGACAGCGAGTGACCGAGAGGATTCCAAAAGATTCACCTGTTCAAAAGTTGTTCATAATATGGTGTGCTTATAATTGACGCAAAAGCTCTTTGTGTGATTATCCATGGGGTCCTTCCAGGCAGCGACAAGGGAACAGCATGTACATTCATCTGTTTAATAATTGTTAGAATAAGATAATTAATTATAAGGTAATATGGATGATTATGGCTGCCTTAAAAAGACTAATAATGGACTTTGTAATGGTGTTATTGTAACAATAATACCAACTTATGTATATTTAAGTGATATGGTGTAAAAATGACACTGATGCGATTGTACAGTTTGTATAATAATTATACACAAATTGATTTTACTGTAATCTGCGCTCAAAGTATATTATTGAAAGTCCAGGCAGGTAGCAAGGTATTAAAAGATTGTAGATAAAACTCATGTTTGAAATCGGTTGTACGGTTAATCAACTGTTATTGGTTTCTAATATAGTTAATTGAATTGGTCTAATATAGTTAATTGAATTGGTCTTTTGAGGTAACATATACAATGTACAGTTTATAAGATACTCTATTTTATATTATGATCTGGCGATAACATGTATATATCTGTCAAATTAAGGCAAATCATCCATTCAAGGTGAGTGGATTGCCAGTAGCAATTTGTTTTGTATATGCCTTGTTTGTGGTATACATTTTGTTAAAGATTATCAATTATATATCGCGTTAGTCAACTTGTAGCTACTGATCATTGTATATATGTTTAACATCCATTGCATAAAACCACAAGTTGTGGTATCAAATTACTGATAAACATTGTAAATATAAAAAATTCTAATGTTAATCAAATTGTTATGCTATTGTTAAAATATTGTTAAAGGAAAATTAAATTGTCGGGCAAAATTGTATTGTAAGGTACTATTACCCATTATGTATATAGGTTTGTTTGTTTGTTAATAAAAGACCCGATGCAGGCGCCCGTCGGGTCCCGTGGGGGCCTTGGTTGCTCTATCTTCACACTTTTCTATCCTCCTTTACTTCTTCTTCTTGCTCTTTCTTCTTGCTTTCCTAAACTCTTCTTTCCGACTTCTAATAGGGTAAAGTCTGTTGCTTATCACGGATAGCCCTCTATTCCTTTCTACTAAATGTAGTTAAAAGGTTTCAACTGTATTGCTGCTATAATTCAAACGTAATAAAACACTTCCCTTTTGTTTTCTTACGAATATTGAAGTAAGAGATCGAAATCTGTTTATGTTTTTTTCCTTTGTATCTTTTATCTTTCACTTAAAACACGTGTATTTCGTTCCCTATTCTCTCCATTCAAAACACAGAAAATAAAATATTTATTTACTAGGTTCTCTTTTCACCACAACTTCGAGCGAGGATTTGGACCTCGCGATATTAGGATATAAAATTTAAGTAGTAACGAAAGCTTAAAACAAAAATTTCACTGAATTATGATAAAAATCTCCATTTAAAAACACTTCATTTGAAAAAACACTAAGACACTAGCTCAATGTTGAAATTGTGTGTGGCACCATCTGTTATTAGACTATTAAAATAACTTTTATACTATTAATTATTATAAAAAGACGAAACTAGCTTAATTTTAGGTTAGGAACGAGTTTTTTAAAATATTGTAAATGCCAATTTACAATATTTAATTTACAATATTTAATATACAATAACTAGTAAAATTTTCATTACGTCCACCACATTCGAGATATGACACATTATCTTCTCAACCTGTAGAGTTCCGTACTCCAAAATTTAACAGCTTCATTGCCCCTTATATACAAGTTACCGTGTCAAATTTCGTTTCTTAATCTTTACACCACCTTGTGATATTAAACGAAATACACACAAACACCCCCAAAAAAGGAATTTTTTTCCTCTTTTTGGGGGGACATTTTTGGGTTCAGGGGACTGAGTTGCAAAAATCCCGTAGGGTCAAACTTGATACGATTACAATACTTTCCCGTGTTACATTATAAAGTAAAACTAATTATAAAAGGATTACAATTGAATTTTTTATTGCCATCCTTGAACTGTGATAATGGAATCTTGCATAAATTCAACATTAACTCGCAAAATATATTATATAAACGTATACTAAAAAACACAATTACATTTAAATTATCTAATTAAAATTAAGAAAATTCCATCGATTTTCTTATTTCTTTTAATTTTGAAACTGAAAAACACGAAGTATAACGAGGGATACATATAATTTACATACAAGAATCAACGTAAATATCACTCAATAATTCATAAAATTTAAGAAAATAGAAGGGGAAAAGATTTAAATTTTTAAGAAAATTATTTTTTTCTTATTGAGATAAAGTGTTTCAATTAACGTTGACTCGAAAGTATTTTGGATCGAACGTGACTACCATTTCTTGAAGGTAATTTTCAGTATCAATTGTGCCATCTATAACCAGATGAAGTTGGAATAATAACGATGACTTTTAAAAAAAATAAATGAACTATTGGCTTTTCTGATTGATTATTTAAAATATTTCTGACGTAAAATATTTTATCTCGATAAATTATATAGTAAAAAAAATCAGTCAAAGTTAACTTATAAATCTAGTTTTTTTATACACATCCTTAATTATATCGTTAAAAATGAATTTTAATTAAAGGTATCCATATTTTATCATACAGTTTTTTTAAATAACTCAACAAATAATGTGGCCTATATATCAATAAATTAAAATCCACGTTGGTAAAGAGACGAGGCAGAATCCTAGTAGAAAAGAAGAAACTGTGAGACCCTAAGACACAGTGGCGCGTTATAGCTTCGTGGGACCTTCAATTAGGGGTCCCATGTACAGTGTTGACTTCAGTTTTCTTCCAGGGAATTGTTCGAGTAGAATCTCCCCGTATTTTCGTTCGTTTTTAACACGACCCTTGAAAAGTTAAGTTTTAGCTACACCATCTAAGTCCTTAAATATGATCCAAATTTAAATTTCAATATTCTTACTACAGTATTGAATTTGTAAAAGATTGATATGAAAAAAATCCTCCTATTAGTGGCGGCCCTAGGCAATTATCTGGGGTTTCCACCAATAGGAGGCCCAGGCAGTTTTGATATTTCGAGTTAGAAATGGGAGCGAAAGATAAAGGTAGTGTCTTAACAGGTGGAAATGTAACAGGCCTTAAGGCGTAACACTTAGGAAACGATGATGATGATGATGATGATGTCAGCTCGTTCCACACAATGGTAAAATTGTGATAGAAGTATATTTGATAATTCACTTTAAAATTTCATATTTTAAGTTAGAAGTACGAGTTAAATGTAATAATTTCATATCGATAAAAATTGAAGGGACATTTTTTTGTCACAGATTCTAATTTAGCTGTCATATTTCATTTTTTTAATCAGAATAAATCAATTTTAAATTTTTCTATTCCTTTTTCACGATAAGATTAAGGTAAAGATGATATCTGTTGACTCTAAGTCTTGGATTTCTTTCTGTATCTTGTAAAAGCTTCAAAACAATTTATTTTATACGATAATATTTACTTTAATATAGTATAAAAGATAAAGATTATCTCGAAAGATGCCTGAAAAAAACAGGAAATTATGGATGGAAATTTATTAGTGTGAATGGAATTCTAAGATATTGCATGAGTTAAGAGCCATAAAATTTATCAATTTAAAATCAATGAAATAAGAGTGAAAACTTCCGAAAATTATTTAAATTTATTATTTTATATGAATTTTCTTCCAAATATTAAAAATCCTGTCATTTCTAACAGTGTAATGGAAGATATTAATTCAGGAGTACGTTCGTTTGTCAGTTCAACCAACTAAAAGCAATCTATATGATGATCCTCTTCTTGATTTTCTGTACTAAAGGATGATATAAATATGCTTGCTGGATAAGAATAAAGTGCTTATAAACAATTATACATTTTATAATTATTTCATTCTAACATTAAAAACAACACAGGTAAAATACATTAAATAATGAGTAAATGCTTTATTAATAACAGAAGCTCGTGAATTAAATTTATGAAACTTAAAGAGTGTACAATAAATGTACAATAAAATAAAAAATAAACAGATTAAGAAGTAGAAAAGAATAGGAAAAATAAATTTATTGAAAGAAAATCGATAAGAGAAATCGTAAAAAACAATATCAGTAATAAATGTGCAAGAAACGTGATAACGTTTCCATTACACAATTCTCTTATTTATTTAACCATTTAAAAGATATTTTAATTCGTTTCTTAATAGTTAAGTCGTGAGGAAGAATCAGAAACACGTAACTGATATTTAATTAGGAAGAAAGATGTTGAAGCAACGCAGAATTAGCATATATAGGAACACACCTGATTCTAAGTTTATGGGAATAAAATATAAAATAGTCTGTTAATACGCCTACAGTATAGGAAACTGTGGAATATGATTCCTATTTTTTAAAATTAAATTAGGCCAAATTTACCACGAAATGGTTGTACTAGGTATGTACTGTACGTGGCCGTTAGAAATAAAATAGAATTTTGTAATAAAATTAATAGTTTTCAAATTTAATGTACTGATATTGAAATGAAAGAATCCTCATAAGTCTTCGACAGATCGAATGTTAATGGCATTAGAGTTAATTTGGAAAATAAAACGTTTTTTCGTCAGAATTTTGACAGATCACACGATTTTGTATGAAAGGACATTTGGGCCATTGCAAATACACAATGATATTTCATAATATATGACAAATATTGTTTGAAAATATTCCTATTAATTTCATATCCGAAATAATGCGCTTTATTAGTCGGTAAAATTAGGCATAGATTTTTCTAAAATGGTATGAACTAGTTCTGATGAATGTTTCCATCTAAAATTTTAATATATTGCTTATCGATGAACGTAATTTAATGTATTCTTGAACAATGATTAATGTTATCGTATATGCAATCTAACAATAAACCGGTTAGGAATTAAAATAGCATTTCACTTCTGATCATTTTCATGAAATCGTAATTATAACAGCAATATTTCTGGGTTGTTTCAACAGCTTGATACAGCAGCTGATTCGTGTTTACTTTTCCTCCAGCATTTAAATGAAGGTCAACATACAGTAATTAAGCGACGTAATTATTCTTTTAAAGTTTGTGAATCACAAAAAACAAACGAA